TATTATCTCAAGAAAATAAAAGTAATTATCCAATTATTTACTGGTATTCGGTTTACTGTTGGGTAGTATATCAAGGAATAAAATGGTATAATCTAAGGATTTAATGGTAACAAGGGTTCATGGCAATATTATATCACACTAAAATACAACTTGTAAGCCAATGAGTTATTATTAAAGTTTAATGGCAGGCTTAATATACATATAGCTCAAGTAATTAACAGTTGTCTCAATGATAAAAATTTTGATTTAGGATAAAATAAGGGTCAATGGTTTAACTAAGGAAATCAATAATGGTACTATAATCTGCTTATAAATAATAGTACGCGTATACTCCACCTCATCACTCAAATTAACCTCAATATGTTGTCTACCTAGGATTTATGACTATCATCTTAGGAAGGTTGCATTATGCATTATGCAACACAGTCGTTAAGATAAAACATCAAATGTGCACAGGCAAATTTATACAAAGCATGGTCGTATAAGCAAGGCAATTCTACAAATTAGAATTGCAAGCATTCTGCTATACATATCAAATCAAGCAATACAAAGAGCAATAGCATTTTATAAGTTTTCTGTCGAAAAGTTGCAACAATTATAGAAGTATGTCATTAGAGCTCAAGCTAGACTAAATTCTTTGTGATTTTAGTGTTCAATTGTTTTTGAAAATTCAATACGAAGCAATCACAACGTTGATTTAATTCAAACAATGAGAAGTGAAATAACCTTTAATTATTCATTAAGTATAGAGCAATTGATATTAAACAGAATTAGAGACGGTCTCCTATCTAGAAAATAGTTATGTAAATATTAATGAATGGTGGATTAAAATAAATGGTTATTTTTCACAACCATAATACTCTGTTTGCCACATAATGTGAATATCTAGATACGATCTAAGCCTCTTACTGGGATTGATCTATCGGCTTTCAAGGATCTTCCTTTGTTCGTAATACACCCATACAGTAAGTCATCTTTCCTTAATCCAATAACAATGGAACATATCCTTTTAAAATTTTTGATGGAAAATAATATCTTTATTGTTTCAAAAAATATTGATCAATCATCTAGTATTTATCTTTCTATCAAGTAATGGTTTTGTATATGAAACATATTTTTTTCATGAATTTGTATTGTGGCTTTGGTGACACAATTACTCTAATTTCGTTTTTATCTTCGATAATTGAATTATTATAACTTAATAAGAAGTATAAATCACCTAAGTAAAGGTCTATATCATGTGGAGTTATTAATTAACTTTACAACTTAAAACTGTCATTGGGTAACGGGTAATTCAGCTTCCAAGTGATATTCAAAATGATAATTCGGTTGATTGAGCATACTTATAAAACTATGAAAACACAAATTTGTTGAGGATTTTATATAGTATTGCTTTGTTTGTGCTATATAATCAAATATATTTTTATTGTATCTATTTATATCAGCTGCTTGATTATATTATGTCGTCGTTCTATTATGTCCACAGTTTGAAGTGTTAATGTTTTAATATTTTTCCTTTTTATATCAATTATTAATGAAGTATTTGATGTATTTTTAAGTTGTTTGACCTTAAATGGAAACTACACAAGATACCAATACAAGAATATCACTCCTACAATTAACACCTACCTCAAGTAATACAGGATTGCCTAGTATGACAAATATTATAATGGGAGGAAATAGTAATGTTGACCGTCTAGAGGGTGTTTCAAATTATAATAATTGGAAGTTTTCAATGAAAATGGCCATAATAATGTATGGACTTTGGGGTTGTGTATCTGATGATATTGAAATTAAAGATAAAAACAGGGATCAAAAGGCTCTTGCAAAAACTTCTTTAAATGTTTTGCCTATTTGTTACCCTTACGTTAGGAATGCTAACACTGCTGAAGAAGCTTGGGATAATCTCCAGAATGCTTTTGAAAACAAAAGTTTTGTTAGAAGGCTAAGTCTTTTAAGACGTTTACTCAGAACCAAAATGGAAGATTTTATTACAATGGCAGACTATGTAAATGGAACTTTAACTTTAGTTCAACAGTTAGCAGACATAAATCACATTGTTGATGATGAAGAAGTTGCAATGCTACTTCTGGGTGGTTTACCTTCAGAATATGAACTACTTATTATGGGTATTGAAGTTACTCAAACGACTGTCTCAAGTGAGTTTGTTAAAACTCGTCTCTTACAAGAGGACTTAAGAAGGTCTGAAAATACTTCAACTGGAAGTGAATCAGCATTGGGATCTAAACATTCTTATGTCAAGAAAAATTAGAAGTTGAAAGATTCAAAAGGTAAGTTTTTACCAATGAAGAAAATCTTATGAACCCAAAGTTTATCATAATGATTGGGTAATTGATTCAGGTTGTACAACCCATATACGTAATCAAATGGTAGAAAATGGTAAGTTTGAAAAGAAGGAAGTTTTTGTGGCCAATAATGCAAAACTTACAAGTAATTGTGTTGGTGATATTGAACTTTATATAGATAATTCTAATAAAGTTACTGTTAAGGATGTTTTTATACATACCAGAACTTACTACTAATTTGTTGTCTGTATATATAATTACAGAAAAAGGTAAAATAGTAGTTTTTGACAAAGATTCGTGCAGAATTTACTCAGAAAATTACTGTCAAATAGGGGGAAATAGTGGAATTTCTGCTGTGAATGACGGTGGTTTATATAAACTAAACTTAATTGAGCCAACAGAGTTGAATGGTCACTCTAAATTCGAAAAAGATTTTTCATCAGCTGCTCTTACAGTTGCTACCAAAGGTACGTGGCACCGTAGATTAGGCCATCTAAGTCATAAAGGAATCGATTTACTAAGAAACGGTTTGGTTAATAGAGTGAATTATTCAAAATCAGAACAGGAGAATATTTGTACCGCTTGTATTGAAAGGTGAGATAACAAGAAAATCTTTTCCTTAAGGTAAAGGTAGCAGAGCTACTTCATTACTTGAGCTAAATTCATTCAGACTTATGTGGACCTATGTCAGTTAAAGGTTGAGGTGGATCTCTTTAACATTCACCGATGACCTCCCAAGAAAAACTTTTGGTTATTTACTTAAACAAAAAATGAGGTTTTCAGTATATTCAAAGACTTAAAAATGGAAGTTAAAAATCAAACTGGAATAAAAATTAAGCGCTTGAGAACTAATAATGGCAAGGGTAAGTATGTTAACAAACAATTTGCAGATTTTCTACATTTAAATGGCATAATTCATGAGACCACTATACCTCACACTCCAGAGCAAAACGGTGTAAGTGAACGTGTTAACCGAACACTAGTTGAAAAGACAAAATGTTTACTTCAAGATTCATGTTTAGGAATTACGATATTGGGGAGAAGCTATTAACACAGCTATCTATTTGAAAAATCTTAGTCCTACGGCAGCTTTAAAGGATGCGACACCAGAGGAAGTTTGGACTGGTTAAAATGTTGATCTAAGTCACTTACGGGTTTTTGGCTCTAAAGCTTATGCTCATTTTCCCAAATGTTACAGAAAGAAACTTGACTCAAAATCAAAGCCTTGTATTATGGTTGGATATTGTGAACATTCCAAAGATTACCGACTGATTGATCCTAAGCAACCTGCTTCGATTATAAAAGCACGTGATGTTGTTTTTGTAGAAGACCATTGTCGTGCCTCCGATGTGAAAAATGACCTGAAAAATGAAAGTCGACAAGTTGAATATACTGTTATAAACAGAAGCACAACTGAACTTGTGGAAGAGCCAAACAATGATAAACTAAACTCTGTTAACAACGAAGAAAATCTTTTTCATTCTAACAGTGAAAGTGAACGGGACATTTCAGAAAATGAAAATTCTTAACTAGACAATTTACATAATGAAAATGAACAGCAAGTTTTGGAAGAAAGAAATTCTTTGATTGAGGATAAAAGACCTGAACGTGATATCAGAAAACCATTATGGATGAACGACTTCGTTTCATATCAAGCTATCTATGTTTTTGATGACCTGCAAACTTTCAACGAGGCAATTGAAAGTAATTTCAAAGAAGAATGGATGAATGTCATGGATAAAGAGTATATTTCTCTGATTAAGAACAATGTTTGAAAGTTGGTTGATCGTCCAAAGAATGAAAATGTGGTTAAACGCAAGTGGGTTCATAAAACTAAGATAAATGTATATGGTGATCGTGAGAAGTTCAAAGCTCGTCTTGTTGCTATAGGTCAAGAATATGTTTATGAAGTTCATTGAAATCAAGCATATGCCAACTGAAAATATGACGGCTGATATTTTAACCAAATATTTGTCACGTGAAAATAGTATTGTTTGCTTGTGCAATATAATCAAATATTTTTTTAATGTATCTATTTATATCAGCTGTTTGATTATATTATGTTGTTCTTCATATTAATGTTCACAGTTTGAAGTGTTAATGTTTTAATATTTTTCCTTTTTACAAAAATTATTAATAAAGTAATTTATGTATTTTATTCCCTCGTTTCATCAAATTTAGTACGGAACTTAGACATTTCTAAAACATGGTAAAATGTAGTTGAAAGCAGTGGATGTAAACTAGGAAATAGAAATTGTAAGGTGGAAAAATAGGAAAATGAGTAAAATTAAGATACCTCACATGTTTGGGTTGACTTCTCTGTAGATGGCCATCTTGCTGCTGATTTTTACTTCACTACTTCTTCTTCTTGTAGTAGGGATAGGCGGGAAATTTAAATGTTTAAATGAAACCTGAATGAGGGTGGTTATGGTTGGTGATGTTGCAACAGGAATGAAAAAAGGATAAATTAAAATGTCTCTGGGATTTCAGAAATTAAATTAAATTAAATTAAGTCTGGCTCTAACATTTCCGCCCACCAAAAAGGGCTAGTCCTTTTTTCACAAATTAAAACTTAAAATTGTTCAAAATAGAAAAACGCAGTTAAGTAATAGTTCAAAATTGAAAATTAAAGATGTTTGTTTCTTCTAAAAACACAAAATAAAATATCTTCTCAATCTTCTTGAACAACGTAAGTTATTCTAGCGGTAGAGGACACAGTTGAACTACTGGCCTCTGAAGCTGTCCGGTTGGAGTTTTGAGGGAGACGACCCGGACGATGCCGTCTTTACCAGGATGCGTTGCAATGACTCGAGCAGCGGTCCATTTCAAAGGAGGCAAATTTTTGTCTTTAATTAAGACGAGATCGTCAATCTTCAGGTTAGGTTGTTTTAGATTCCACTTGTACCTCTGCTGGAGTTGGTGCAAGTATTCTCGACTCCAGGTATTCCAAAATGATTTTTGGGCTTGTTGGATCAATTGCCATCTGGATAGTTGATTAGAAGGAGTGGTGGAGAAATCTGCCTGTGGTAGAGCAACTAGCGGCTCGCTTATAAGAAAGTGGCCTGGAGTGAGGATTTGAAATTCATTTGGATCTGGTGAGAGACTGCATAGTGGCCTTGAGTTGAGAATCGCTTCGATTTTGGTTAGAAGGGTTGAAAACTCTTCGAAAGTATAAATTTGATTTCCAATAACCCTCTTAAGATGGTACTTGGTGGATTTGATTCCGCTTTCCCATAAGCCACCAAAGTGAGGGGCTGCGGGTGGATTAAAGTGCCAACTAATGCCAAGGTTAGCAACCTTTGACTGAATCACGTCAGATGAGGGAGGCTTGTAGAGTAAGTTACAAAGATCTTGAAGTTCCCTGTCGGCTCCAACGAAGTTTGTTCCTTGGTCCGAGTAGATGTTTGCACAGAGACCTCTACGTGACACAAATCTATCTAGACATGCCAAAAAGGCTTCAGTGGAGAGTGATGATACCAGCTCAAGGTGAATAGCTTTCGTGCTGAAGCAGACGAACAAACAGACGTAACTCTTCAATATTTGAGGTTTGCGTAGCCTATCTGTTTTTGTCATGAATGGCCCACCAAAGTCCACGCCTACATTAAGAAAAGGCCGTATTGGTTTGAGTCGTGATTCCGGCAAATTGCCCATGTATGGATGAGGTGAATTAGCCTTAAACTTAGTACAAACAAGGCACTTAGATATGCGATGCCTGATTACATGTCGGGCAGAAATTATCCAAAACTCTCTGGAGAGAAGTGACTGGAGAGTCCTTGGACCAATATGCAGATACTTTACATGAAAGTTATCAATGAGGAGATGCGTCAAAGGTGAGTTTTTCGGAAGCAGCATGGGATGTTTGGCATCATAGCCTAGCTGAGCATTCTTCAAACGACCACCTACTCTTAGAATTCCATTAGAATCAAGAAATGGATCTAGCCGCTGAAACATAGGACTAGTTTTTTGTGAATAAATCTTCTTGATTTGATCTTGAAAGTTATGAGACTGTGTGGTTTTCACTAGTGAATTAAGAGAGGCTGTGCGTTCTGCCGCTGAAAGATAGGTTAGGAAAGTTTTTTCTTTACTCTTCTGACAGTTATTTATAAATCGTAAAACCCATCCAAAACATGACTGTAGCTTTCTAAAATCAGAGCTATCTTCAATCAATTCAATAATATGATTTGTAGGTTGTTTAGCAGCGACTAATACAGATGACGTATTAGGTCGAAACTCGAGTAAAGACTCTTCTGAAGATAATGCAGGTAACGGTTGAGTAGGCCATGAAGATGGGTCTTCTTGTAGCCAGTCCGGTCCTTGCCACCATAAGGAAGTGTCCAAAATCTCATTAGGAAGCAGTCCTCTTGAAGCGTAGTCCGCAGGATTTGAAGATGTTGGAGTATGTCGCCACTTCGCAGGTACGATGAGAGACTGGATTTCTGCTACACGATTAGCAACAAATGTCTTTAACTGATGTGGAGGAGAGCGAATCCAATGAAGAACTACAACTGAATCAGTCCAGGCAAACGCAGGAATTATTCCAAGTTTAAAGTTGAATATGTCGTGACAGTAGATCATAGTTTTGCTTAATAAAGCTGCACCGCACAGTTCTAAGCGGGGAATTGATAATTTCTTTAAAGGCGCAACCTTAGATTTAGCCATTATCAAGTTTGAATGAACTTGGCCATTACTGTCAACGATGCGAAGGTAGACGGCACAGCCGTAGCCTACTTCTGAGGCATCAGAGAATCCGTGGAGTTGAGCTTCGTTATTTCCTGGTGACAGAACTGGTCGGGGAATATTGAGTCGGCTGAGCTGTGGGAGGTTTTCAAAGTACTTGACAGATTGATTAATAATATCAGTTGGAAGGGTCTGGTCCCAATCTAGGCCTAATGTCCAAATCTTCTGAATTAAACATTTAGCCCATAATACCACAGGATTGATTAGACCAAGAGGATCATAAACTTTTGATACTTGAGATAGCAGACTTCGCTTCGTTGTGGGTAACTGTTCTACATGTACCTCGTAGGAAAACACATCAGAAATAGGATTCCATTTTAGGCCTAACACCTTTATAGAGGGGTTTTCCAACTTGTCATCACGAAAAATCAGTTCCTGGTGATGGGATGGAACATCCTGCAAAAGTTCCTGAGAGTTACTGGACCATTTCCGCAATTGGAACCCGCCTGATTCTAAAAGGCTAATAAGTTCAGTTTTAACCTTTTTTGTTTTCTCTAGGGAGTCCCCTCCAGTGAGAATATCATCTACGAACGTGGAGTTCAGGACGACATCACTTGCCAATGGGTATTGTTCAGAACGTTCAGAGGCAAGCTGACGTAGCGTGCGTAGCGCTAAAAAAGGACTACTACAGACTCCATAACTTACAGTGTTGAGAAGATAGGTCGAGATTTTGTTTTCAGGATTATCTCGCCATAAGATTGCTTGATAGGTTCTGTGCTCTGGATTTACAAGGATTTGACGATACATTTTTTCGATGTCTGTAGTGAAGACATAAGAATGAAGACGGAATAAAGACAAGATTTTACAAATATCAGTTTGTAGCTTGGGGCCTATTAGTAATTCATCATTTAGTGACTTGCCCGATGTAGTCGGAGCTGATGCGTTAAATACAACACGCAACTTAGAGGCAGATGCATTTTTCTTGAAGATGCCATGGTGCGGGATGTAGTAGGCCTCTTTCATAGGATTTGTAACTTTAGTCATATGGCCTAGAGTTTCATACTCTGTTATAAATGCAGAATAGGCTGACTGAAATTCAGGGTTTCGCTTGAATTTCCCTTCTAAGGACAATAAGCAGTTTTTTGCTCGGTTATAAGAGTTGCCAAGGTCTGGTGAATAATTTTTGAATGGCAGATTGACAATGAAACGACCAGATGAGTCTCGTTCAGTTGTTGAAGTAAATATCGATTCACATTGATCATCCTCAGGCCTAACCAGACACTTAGTCATTGGGGGTTCTTCTACTTCCCAGAACCTTTTTAAATTGAATTCCAGTGATTCATGATCTAAGAGTGCTAAGTTAGCAGAGACAGTTTGAAACTGGGAAACTGGGACAGAAGTTTCTCCAATAAGTAACCATCCGAAAATGGTATGGAATGCAGTTGGGATTCCGTGAGGAGAATCAAGCCGCCCACCATCAAAGAGTTGTGGGAATAGATCTGCACCTATAAGGAAGTCAATCTTGCTTGGTAGATAAAATTCAGGATCAGCCAAGTCCCAGCCCTGGTAAAACAATCTTACTTTCTCATGAAGTGTGGTTGAAGGAAGTTGAGAAGTAATACGATTTAATACTATAGCATTAGCTTCAAGAATGGGGGTGTCTTGGTGTGAAGGCTTCAGAACACATAAAACTATGCCTTTGTTACTCAATACTGAAGTTTCAGATAGGCCTAAAATAGGTTGAATGTGCCGGCGTCGCGGCAGTCCAAGTCGCTGTGCACATGCCTCAGTGATGAATGAACTTTGGCTTCCTGCGTCAACAAGGGCTCTGGCCGATTGAAAATTGCCTGTGGAATCCTGAAGGCGAATAACTGCAGTGCCTAAAAGAACTGTTGTAGAATCAAAGCAATCCTTTTTGGAATTAGAAGCGATATTAGGCCTAGTACATGTTAGCGCGGAAGTAGGCTGTGGCAGAGATGACATTTCCTTAATATCTTCATTACGATCAGATGATGGAGTGTTGTCAGGCTTTGCAGCTGAAGGATTGTTTTCACCTGGATTAACATGAAGTGTAGTGTGGTGATGCCGTTTACACTTAAAGCATGTACGATTGGATCTGCATTTACTTAACATATGAGAATCAGTAAGACAGTTAAAGCAAGCTTCTTTAGATTTAATGAACTCCCATCGTTTGGTCGGAGACAACTGCAAATAAGATGGACAAGAATATACTTTGTGTTCTTTATTACAATATAGGCAGCTTGGAGGAAGCTTGTCTTGATTGTTCGTACTGACATGAAACGATCGTTTGCTTGAAACAACAGTAGCTGGTGATTTGACAGTGTACGGTTTTGAAGTTGATTTGGGTAGGCCAAACTTGGAATTAGAGCGGGAATCCCCAGCGGCTTCCAAGGATTTGCAATGATCTTTCAGAAACTCAATAAAATCAGTGAATGAAGGGTACTCTTTATTGGAATGTTTTCGTTCAAACAGTTGTCTAATATGTTTGTCGAGGCTTTTTAAAGCAATGTGCAATATGATAAACTCTCCCATATTCCCAGGTATTTGCATGTTTTTAAGGCTAAAGTATTTTCATTGAGTGTGTCAAGTAAGTTGCGCAAAGGTTTCAGAGACTCAACATGAATTGGGCTTATGCTTAGAATTTCCTCAATGTAATGTGAGGCTAGTAACCTTTTGTTGTCATACCTTTCATTAAGCTGACCCCAAACTAGAGCATAGTTGGTTGAACACAACGGCAAACTTTTCACCAACGTATTAGGCTCTCCTTTGGTACTATTAAGAAGAAAGTGGAATTTTTCTATGTCTGATAGGCTACTGTTGTTATGGACTAGAGCTAGATATATGTCTTTAAAATGTGGCCATTCTTTTAAAGTGCCATCGAAGCTAGGCAGGTTAATTTTTGGGAGCTTAGCTGTTGCAGAACCAAGAGGTGTGGCTTCATTTGCTGGATTTTCATTGGTTGCTGTGGTGGAAAACAATTTTTCTTTCACCGATAAAATGTAGAAATATTTATGATCTGTGGCCTTATTAAGTTCCATCAAGGTTGGCAACTCACTAGTTTCTTTCAGTTGGACATAAGATTTAGCTATGTCAGTTTGGTAACGTTCGAAGCTGTCATGATGAGCCTGTAGCCTTTCACAGCGAACTTTAAATTCTGACACGTCATCTGGTTCTGCATTGATTGTAAGAGCATTAGCTTTAGAATAAAGGTATTCAATCTTTTGGACAATATTGTCCCTTTTATATTTAAGCACTTCAATGTCCTTCTTTACTTTGACATCAGACATGGTTAGAGTGAACCTAGGCTAACTGTGTAGGTACAAAATATATAACTGAAATATAATTATTCCAATAAAATCAATAATATTTCCACAATGACAGTTTCGGCTATATATTGTTTAGCCAAAGAGCAAATTGATTGTAATAGGCTAAGTTATTGAGTTTATTAGGTGAACAGCAGGCCTAGACCTTATTTTTGTTTGATCACTTGTTGGAATAGATAGGCCTAATAAGTCACAAATAGCAATAAATCAATGGTGTTCACTTATTGTTAAGTGAAAAGCTTCATTTGTAATTATTTTATTCACAAGAGGAATGAAAAAAGCATAAAAACCTGGTGCAGGGATAAAAAGATAGTTTTTATCCCAGAATGAGGGATTTATCCCGGTACGAGGGATTTATCCCGCCGTAGGGAAATGTTGGTGATTCCTATCCCATTAATGAGGGATTTATCCCTCCAGCCTGTAGCAGGGAAATGTTTGCTTGAAAAATCGGTTTGATTTGATAAATACAAATTAACACTTCTTTAAATCTTGATAAAAGTCCATAAAATGCTTTAAAAAGTTGATTGAACTTGATCTTGATGTTAAATAAATGTTCAGAAGCTTTATTTGCAATAATAACCTAGAACACTAGCCAGACTTAACATGAAAGGATAGGAACATGTTGAAAGAATAGGAGCAAGTTGAAAATTGATTATTATTAGAAAAATATGATAGGATTTTTTAAAATTAATTGATCCGGCTCGAAGGACCAATGAAAGCAGTGGATGTAAACTAGGAAATAGAAATTGTAAGGTGGAAAAATAGGAAAATGAGTAAAATTAAGATACCTCACATGTTTGGGTTGACTTCTCTGTAGATGGCCATCTTGCTGCTGATTTTTCCTTCACTACTTCTTCTTCTTGTAGTAGGGATAGGCGGGAAATTTAAATGTTTAAATGAAACCTGAATGAGGGTGGTTATGGTTGGTGATGTTGCAACAGGAATGAAAAAAGGATAAATTTAAATTTCTCTGGGATTTCAGAAATTAAATTAAATTAAATTAAGTCTGGCTCTAACAGTAGTGTTAGATTAGTTATTTAGGTCAGCTTATAAACTTAGTTCTCCTTTGTCACATTGTCAAGATGCAACTTGACAGCAGAGCTGCATATATCACACCAGTTTAGTAATTCAAATGCAACTAGGACATGAATTCTCAATCAAGCATTTCATGTGAAAATTAATACAGAATCAGACATCTGGGCAATTTTGTATTTAAATATAATGCTATTAGCGCATACAACAACTGTGCGATATAAAGTACAACAGTATGATAATTCTGCTACAGAGCATACTGTAGTGATACCTTCCATTTAAAATATCTCTACGTGTCTTATATGTTTTCCAGAGTAAGTTTGCTTAAATTTAATGGGAGATGTATAGTAAATAATTTTCAGACAAATAAAAACAAAAAGGTGAAGTGTGATAAGTTGTAAGCTAAGTTGTATAATTAAAAATTGTGTTGTTGTACAATACGATATTACGTAACAATAAAATTTTCATAACAACAATAGCAGCAGCATTAAAATAAAAAAAAAATGAAATTCGTAATTTGATTATTTATTTAATTAAGCGATTGAGGACAATATACTTAAGTATACGTCTTTCCTGGTGTACAAAGTCAGACAAAATCACCAAATAACAAACACTTAAGAGACATACTTACGAGCAACAGGATATTTAAAATAAAAAAACTACGTCCTACAAACTAAAACTAAATGTTATTTATTAAGACATTAACAATTTGTAAGTAAAGTGTGTTTTTTAGAAGTAGGTATACAACCTTAAAATTATTTAACACACTAAAATCGCGTTTCTACCATGGTATTGAATTTATTTCCTTGGTAATTTTATACAATTGTTTTAGACTTTTAAAATAAGTTCCAGCATAAGTAAAGGGTGAAATGAGCGCCGCGGCTGGCTCGAGTGAAGCACAACCTAGTAACTCTAGTTTTCGATTACTTTCTCCAGCAGCTGGGGCCTTATACTGGCAATCACAATTTTATATCTACCTTTAGCTCATATGCCTGAAATTATTTTGAAAACTAAATTGCATTAAAGTGCCATTGGCATGGTATGTGTTTTGTTTTAATATCATGTTTAAGTTGCTTTAAAAAAATACACTTTATACATTTTGAGAACAAGTTTTTATCCATCTATTTTGTTAAAAAGGGATGCTTTTTTATTTGGCTTGTGTGCAACATTATTAACCATCACGAGAATATTCGTAATGAAGAAAGCGGGAAATAAATGTTCTGAAAATACAGATTTCAGTTTATTTAGTTGCTTGGTAAGTATTTCTGTGTGATACTGATATAACAGCATTGTTCAAAATTAGTTTAAAATTAAGACATTTCTTTTGTAAGGGTATAAACTAGATTACTCTGTTTATTTTCTGTGCCATACATAAATGTTACGTCAGTAACCCGTGCAACGGTGGCCATTATATTTTACGCTTAGGTCCAAACAATACATTGAAAGAAGCAATACACAAACCAAACCCAGATAAGCTTAATTGGATATCTGGTAAAACAACCCAGTCCATCCAATCAGTTTGTTCCGTGTCCAGTTATAAGTTGTAGAGCACCAAGGATTATGCAAAGTTATTTTAAACAGTTTCTCTGGTAAACTATTAATTTGTTAATAATTTCATTAATTGAGAGAGTATATTATTGTAGGAGCAATTTATACATTTGTAAACTGAGTTGTAAACTATATTTTTGAGAATATATAGAGTGTTCTTGTGGGAAATAAGTGAATTGTAGTTTCCTCGTTTGTAGATATATTTTGATCAAAGTTGGCACATTTATTTTTTCATACTAAGCTATTTCCATTTCACTACAGTAATCTTTGTTACGTTCTCTGTTGCAGCATACCTAACGCTATTTTAAAGGGAATAAATCTAATAAATCTAATATATTTGTGGAATTGTTTAGTGAAAATCACATCAGGCATGTAAAATTAGCTTAGTCTGCAGGTTTGCTGCGGTAGGATATTTCGTTATAATATAAATCAAGTTATACTGTACGTACGGTTCGTCATGTTATCGTCTTGTACTGAAATAAACCTATAATTTATTTAAAATACAGTATTTACAAGTTTGTTTTGCCTTCAACAAAAATATACTTAAAGCTATTTTATTTAAGTAATTGGAAATGTAATAAAACCACGTTTTGGTCGTTCCACGTTCCACGTGGTTGTGTGATGGCTGTTCACCTTTTTTTTATGGTTTGTTTTTTATTCATGTAATTTCAGTTTACAGAATACTTATGTAATACAGATGAAGTTGAAAATACGTTCTTTACGTGGATTAAGTGGATAAGTATCAAACACAAATTTTTCTACGAAATTATACTTTTCCATTATGGTTTTTGCGGAAAAGGTTGCGTATGTACCGATTCATATATTGAATTATATTAACCCTTTACGTATGTTTCAAAAACTGCAATGTTCTTAAAAGTACACTGGGGTACACGAAACAAATTATTTATAAAGCTCTCATAAAGAGAATCTATTTCCTGATGACGTTTGGAGCGTTTAAGCAGCTATGCAAACGACAAACTATAAAAACCATTCATTGCTAGTAGCCACACAACCTACTTGTGCTTTGCAGAGTGAAATTACGCTGTATAACATACTGCTAATCATATTGGTAACAATAGTTAATAATATTCCTTTTAACTCTGTATCACGTTTGGTAAATTGTGTTAAGTTGCAAGTCAGCCTTTGAAGAAAGACAATTTCCAATAAAAGGGCTTGTACTTTATAAATATTTATTTCCTTCCTTTTGTCACCATGATTTGGTTTTTAAATGGACACTTTAAAGCTTTTGCTTTTCGAAATCCCTTGTATACAGTAATGTTGTTGAGTGAATGTTTCTCTAAATATCGTTAGTGTGAATTTATTTATTTGTCGTATTTACGAGTATCTAGTTGTTGTAGTCTATTATATAATATAAATTTTGTTGAATGCAATTGCTTACATGTCATACCTAGGTGACATATATTACTGTATATGAAATTAAATAAAGTCAGGCAAGATTAAGTAACCCTTAATCAGGTAAAATTCTATAGCATAGTGTATTTAGACATTGGTAAAACGCCATATACAATCTACTTATTGCAGGAAAAATTAAGTAATTAATAACATCTTCGCTTAAAATTTATATTGTGATTGCACGTAAAATTTATATGGACCATAAATCATGACTAAGTGCCGCTAAGCACATAAGGGGAGTTATAGACTGCGTGTTTGGAATCTCTATCACGGCGACAAGTACTCGACTAAACTATCCACTGACGTTACACATGTGAAACGATCTATATTCTGTTTATAATGTAAGCTGTAACTATCTGATTTTGTAAATCTTTGTTTGCGTCTACCAAGTAAAGGGCTACATAATATACTAGCTGCTGTACCCGTGCTTTGCTTGGGGAAGAAAAATCTATTTCATAATCATTGACATAGATTTACAATAAATAATCTATGGTAAAGTTTTAGATGATAAATAATCCCCACATAGTTGGGTAATATACATTTTATTTCCTTGGATCATCTGTCTGAAATTGTAGAAATGAGCATTTGGCAATTCTTTTTGTTTACATTGAAATGTCAACGCAAAGATAAATTGTAAAAGCTCGGAGAAAATCTTTCACTTTTAACGCGCGTCCTTAAAGGCCGACGATATGTAAAGGCGTAAAAACATTTTACCACAAGACTAGAAGTTCAAGGTTGTCTACTTTAGAAAGTCTCCAGATACAGAAAAGCGTGACATAATTATGGCTCAGGGTGTCACGTCTTGACCGGAATCGGAATAAACTTGAGATGTGTTCAGAATCCTGCATAATGTGATGGGTCAAGACAAACCTACAAACTATTTCATAACGGGTTTCTCACTCTGCCATGTAGACCAATCAATAGTTACTTTATTTATTTTACTTACTTTACTTATTATACTTTCTTATATA